TGGCCCATTTGCTAATTATCATTTGGGCTCGTTTTCTCCAACTGTGAACTTGCTCGAGTTCAAGTCATCTTCAGCTGTTGCATTTACATGAAAAGTAGATCATTTGTGACGTCTATGTCTGTCAATGCTCCAGCCTCCCCCTCGCTGTTGGAGACCAAATGAAATCATGTATTTCTCTGGGTTCCCAGGCTGCTGCTGACCAGCAGGTCCCAACGGGAGCCATGAGGCAAACCCTGTGGACAGATGGACGTGCTGGCCTTCCTCACTGGGCTGCCAGGGTGACCTCTTCCCAGCTTCTGAATTCCAAGCTGTATTTCCCCTCAGAGGCCTGATAGGGTGACCAACTGTCCCCGTTTGCCAGGGACAGAGTTCTCCCAAGACATGAGATTCTTTTGTGCTAAATCTGGGAGGCTTGGTCACTGTACACCTGGTCCACCAGGACACAGACAGTGTGAGAGCATTCAACATCCTCCTAGGTGATATAGTTGGAATCTGGATCAGGGTCCCAGCTTTCTCTGTCAGGCCTGAGGCTGAGGATGCACCCCTTTACTGCTCTGCACCTTATTTTGCTTTTAATCTCTACTGCTAATCCGATAGCATGAAGCTTTATTTCCAACTGTGGATAAGTGGAGGTCTGCAGGCATGTTCTGAGATGAGGGTGGCACCAAAGAAGGAATGACTAGTGTGTAATCCCTTTGAATGGGGATCATCCTCAAAGTACTCTTCCGGATTCAGAAACACACTAAGCATTTATTAGGTGCTTGGCAACACAGGCAATACAAGCATATGTCCCGTTTACTCCCAGCCCTCAAAGAGTTGACAATCCTGTGGGAGATACTAATACAAATACAATGAACTATATCTGCTACAAGGCTACCTAGTGGATCCCCAAGATGGCAAAAGGCCATGGGAGCTGGGGAAGGGAGAATTAGGGTACCTCTGCTTACTATATGACAGCCACTGTACATTCGTTATCTCATTTAACAGCCCACATTTCTCAAGCACCTATCGTGTGACTAACCCATTTAGTTTTTACAATTCGATTATTATACCTGTTCTACAAATGAGTAAAATGATGCTTTGAAAAACCGTGCTCGAAATTGCGAGTTAGTCGAGTTAGTGAATGAAGGGTCCAGGGTTTGAACCCAGAGAGTCTGAGCCTTGTGGTAAGGACTGTCTGAGACTGAATCTCCTACCCCTGTGGGGTGCCGTACCCTGAACACAACCAGTGTGTTGGGCACTCAGCCAACATCAGACAAAAGTAATAGGGTCGGCTGAGGAGCATGGCTGTGCGTGGCAGGAACATGGTGGAGAGAAACATGAGTTGGGGCTTCTGCATCCTACACTGCGGAATCCCGAGGCATGACATCGGGAATGTCCCACTGGAGGTGTGGCGACTCTGGAGCTGCTGAGGAAACTGGCCTGACAAGTGCTGCCCTTCTGACCCCTAGCTGCATTAGATTCTAAAGAAGGTACTAGAACAGGAAGCCAAATGCCTGACTTTCATCATCCTTCGAGGACCAAAGATGAGTGACAGTCATTATTTTATATTTTTTTAGACTGCGTTTGTCAATTCTCAAAAGCTTATCTTTCTTATACAATTAGAACATCTGAGCAACTTGCCTTGCATATATAGGGTACTTGATATATGCAAATCAAATACATACGTATTGATTTGATATAATATGACTGATTTTAATACTACAGCATTACAATAGTAGACTTGGAAGTTAAGTATTCCAGCACTTTCAATATTGAAAGTGCTCGTTTCAGTAATAACAATCCACAAGTGCAATATTCTTAGTGGACATTGAACTGTGCTAAGATAATGACTGTCTTCAGAAACATTCTCAATATCTTTTTCTGTTACTTTATAGGTTTTGATTTGTGTAAAATGAATACATAATTTCAGACAGTTAAGCATTAAAAGCACTTGTTATTAATATGTACAAGCGGGCTTCCCTGGTGGCGCAGTGGTTGAGCGTCCGCCTGCCGATACACGGGACACGGGTTCGTGCCCCGGTCCGGGAAGATCCCACATGCCGTGGAGCGGCTGGGCCCGTGAGCCATGGCCGCTGAGCCTGCGCGTCCGGAGCCTGTGCTCCGCAACGGGAGAGGCCACAACAGTGAGAGGCCCGCGTACCGCAAAAAAAAAAAAAAAAAAAAAAAAAAAGTACAAGCATTGTACTCCCTGTAATTAAAATGAACAAAACATAAAGGTAGGCTGTTTCAAGCAAAATTTAAAGAACTATAAGCTTCTGGGAAAAAAAAATGATATCCCTTCTTGCTCACATCTACTGTTAATAATTCCTGGTTAATCCAATCATAGTTTGTTCCCCATGCCCCAAAACAGGCTCTTATCTCTCGATAGAATAACTGGGTTGTTCCAGCCCTTTCTGTGACTCAGACTTCGAGTCAGTTCCCGGCACTGCCAGCTGTTAGAATCCCTGGGGCCCTTCTTTAGTTGTAGAAAATACAGTTGACCCTCGAAGAACGTGGGGGTAAGGGGCCCCGACCCTCCATGCCATTGACAATCTGAGTATAATTTACAGTTGGGCCCTCCATGACTGAGTTTCCTCCGTATCTATGGGTCTGCATCCACAGATTCAACCAACCTTGGATGGTGGAGTAATGCAGTATATAGCGTATAAGTGGACCTGTGCAGTTCAAACCCATGTTGTTCAAGGGTCCGCTGTAACGAGAGCGCTCTGATGGAAAAGGAAGGCTTTATCTACTTGTTAACTTACCCTCAGCTTTGTCTTAACAATGGCCTTCATGCTTCCGTACGTAGAGAAGAAATAAACATTCAGCTCTCTCCATCAGATGTTTCTGCTCCTTTAACTCAGAGAAACCCAAGCTTGAGTGCTGAGGAGAGCCTCTTCCTTCCAGTGGACCTTTAGGGAAGGTGTTCCCCCTCCATCTGAACATGTCAGCTGAAAGCAACTGAACCAAACTCCCCAGAAGGAGACCCATGTTCTCCTGGAGATCAGAGGGCTTGCTCCACCCTCTTCATTCACCTGCCCCTATCCACTCTGTCCTTAACATTTTCTGAAATTAGCTTTATCAACTCCTTTCAGGCCTTTAACTCCCTTTTGCTGTTTGCACAACCTTTTCTGTTTACCCACAACAGCCTTCATACAAGACAAATGAGCAAAACCTCACCATGATTATGTTCTAGTTTCTTTCCACACTACTCGTCCAACTGAATTCAGAGACAACTTAGTTCTTGCCAAGAGCTTTCTACAAAGTGGTTGTGAAAGAAAATGAAGAAAATAAATGCTTTAGCCAATGATATATCTCACTTGTACCCAGCGAGTCTTGCTTTGTTCCACAACTCTTGAGTGACACACAGAAAAAATGGTTTTTTGCCATGTATTCTCAAAGCGTAATTATAGATTTCAAGTTGAGAAACTCTAAAGGTGATATATAAAATTCCCCAACATCTTCTTTGCCAGATACAGGTGCTCTACTGTATTAAACATGTCTTTTGGTTTTTGTGTTTTGATTCTTGAATATCTGGGGCCTTGCTGAAAAGGGAGGGATTGCCCCTTCCAGGGCTAACCAATTTCTAGAGATAGTAGACAACTCATCCTTGAGCTGTTTACTCACCAATCAACACAAACCAACCAATCCAGAGCCCACTTTCCCAACCACCTCCGCTATGGCCTCTTAGCGCTAAAATCCCTTTGGCCTAATCACCATGGCACCAGGTGATCAGCTAGGGGCAGCCCCCCTGCCCCAGAACCTGCTGAAATTACTCAAATTAGTCCATGTTTAGCCTTCTTACCCTGCCTCGCCCATTCCTTCCCAGGGAAACCACAAGAAAGGCTCCTGCCCGTGTTGTCCCTGACCAGTCTGCGTTCTTCCCCATGTGGTCCTCATACCGTGGTATACCCCCTTCTCTTGGGATCTGTGAGTAAAACAAACTATCTTTTCAATGGCAGTCATGTCTTTTTTTCTTTTTTAATTAGTTTTTATTGAGTAGAGCTGCTTTGGCAGTCATCTCTTGATCTGTTGGCCTCACCATACATAAACAATTTAGAAAACCTATATTTTAAAAGCATGTACATCAAGAGAAAGGAAGACAGCCTAGCAAAAGACCGGTCTGGCCCCTGTGCTCAGGCCATTGTTCAAATGGAGTTGGATGAAATTTAGTTGCTCTGTCAGTTATATTTAGCAAAACTGCCACTTTTAACTGTTTCAGGAAAAAAGCATGATTTTACGATAAAGCACTGATTATACTGGATAAGACGATACTAGATAGAGCTGCTAGGGATAGCTGTGATGAGGGTACCATAGTATGATATATGTCACAAAAGATGTAGGGTTTTTAGGGGCCCTTGACTTCCAAAGCACAGTTTGAGTCCTACTGTGAAGACAGTCTATAAAGAAAATGAAAGGACTCCCCACTCACTTAAACAATAATAGTAAAGTTTTTTTAACCAGTGTTCTGGATTTTCATATATTCCATTAAAACTGCATTGCAGGAGATTCAGTATGAAAATCAAAGTCCCCATGATACTGTATTCTCATCTTGGGCTCACCTCTCTCTATATCTCTGGAGTAAAAGCTACTAAAAAATAGTTTAACTTGACTTTGTGTATCTAGCAGGCGCCACCCAGTAGGTGCTGAATATTTATTCAACTGACTGAAGAAACGTTTCTTACCTTCTTTGGAAAACAGTGTAAGACATGACATAGAGCTCAAAGATGCCCATTTAAGGGGTTAAGTGAATAGGTGACTGGTTTTGGAGCTGAGAATTAAAGCTACTTTCTCTGGCCCAAACCATGACCATCCCAGGGAGAAATGTAAGACCTCTGTTTGATGGCCACGCACATCTTGGCATCTCCTGCCCTTTAGCTGACCTCTAACTCCTGTCCAGTTCTGCAATCCTCTGGTTAGGAGCTGGCCATCAGTTTGCACGGGCGAGGCAGTGTTCTGTGACAAGTGGCTGAGCTCCTGGGGTGACCTGGGTGCCGCCACTGCACAGTGACACTTACCAAGGGCTCCAGCTCCTTGCGGTCTATGAGGTTCATCTCAGTGACGAAGTAATAGAAGTGTTTGTAGCAGGTGTTGACGTGGGCCTCCGCGCCCATCACAATGACCCGGTCGAAGTGGTGGATGTAGACGTGGACGAAGACCCGGAAGAGGCGACACAGGATCTTCTTGCAGATCTGCAGGAAGTTCTTTGGGAAGGGAACACCTAGAGAAAGGGAAAAAGGGAACAAAACCATGATGGGGAAGCTCTGGCAGGCCCCGAGCACACATGTGAGGCTGGAGATCAGTCCTGGACCCGGGCTTCTGGGCCAGCCTGCAGATGCCTGGCTCTGTGTGAGCAGCTGCATTGGACATTGTCTGAAAAAGTGGCTAAAATGGTGTTAAATTCAAACAACAACAACCACGAAAAGACCAAAAAAATGAACAAAGAGCGCCAGGTTTGTTTCTTTGGTTATATCTTTTTTGGTGCAGATAAACGCACAGAAATATTTATTTTTAGATAGAAACAGGCACTCTCCCTTCTTGCTTTTTTAGTTTTCCCACTTTTTAGAGCCCAAGAAAGTTCCTTTTCCTCTTATCTCTAATGTAAGAAGACTGGTAGAAGGAGGGCGATGATCCAGGGAGACTGGCACTCCTTGACACAGAGTAATAGGGAGCGGTGAGGACTGCAGCAAATTAGAAAGCCCTTTCTCATCAAAGGAAGCAGCCGCTGCACAACTCAGCCAGTGGTGGCCAGATGGCGACAGAGGTCTGGGGCTGTGAGATCTGGTTTTGCAAGATGATTCAGAAATCTGGGGTTCTCTATGAACTATCTGGAGTTCTATTTTTAAAATGATAGCAATTAACCTGACATTTAAAAAAGAAAAAAAAAACCGCAGGTCAAAACAAAACATCTTCCTAGGATAACTCGGCCTGCAGACTACCAGTTTGCAAATTCGGATCCAAACTTTTTCTGAGATACACTGTTTCTGAGGTGGGCAAATGCAACAAAACTTCATGGAAACTTCACATTATACTTATTGTCACCTCATCTCCTTAAGGGAAGGTAAGAGTTGGGGGTTGTTTTTCATAACACAGACTGGGTGAGGGGGCAGAGGAATCACCCAGATTTCCTGTCTGATGACCACTACTCCCAGCTTGGTCAGAGCAGCAAAGAGCAGAATCCCAAGCCCACTTCCTTTCTGCCTCTCAGACACTGCGTCAACTCTTGGTATTTACACTGTCCTTAAGTAGTGACGTCATGGATTCCAAAGTTAAATAGCCTTTGAATTCCTATTCCGCTTTCCAGACGTAGGACCACAGACAAGTCATTTACCCTCTCTGAGCTTCAGTTTCTCCATTTGTAGGATGCAGGTAAAACTGCCAATTGTCCTGAGGATTAGAAGTGACACCCCTGTGACTTTTGTTTTTTTGTCAGTTGAGGAGGAGTCAAAACAAGGCCTTTTTTGCATGGCCAGGAGTGTCAGCATGACTAAAACCCTCCTACAGCGCCCAGGACAGGGTAAGCGCTTGCTAAAGGGAATGACACCTCCCCAGCCCCGCCCTCTGCTTTGTAGATCTGGAACATCTAGCCATTGTTATAAGGCAAGTAATTACCCTTATCAGGAAAAGGCAGACATGACCACCAGCCTTTTGGCAGAATTGCAGAGCTGCGCTCAGGGCATGTCCCTGGTCCCCAGCAAGCCTGGAGTTTTGCTGTCCGTGCCTCCACAGGGTCCCAGTGGCAGCTGTCTGGCGAGAGACACTCTGTAACGGGATCACCTGGGACACCGAGGGCAGGATGAGCGACGGAACACAGCTGGCAGCTGGCAGAGGCAGGAATCTGCCTCCCCAGGGTCCGGCACTGATATTGGCTTTTCTTCCAAAACAAAGTGGCAACATATCAAATGAACCCAGGGAGAGACTTGGGCACAGCTTGGCAGCTGACTGTCTGGGCAACAGATGCTGGGGGTTGGGGGTGGGGCGATGTAAAGCTGGCCAAAGGTGGAGGGCAGCTCCCCCCCAGAGCGGATAGGTGTTTTCTCTGCTGAAGGAGGGGCCAGTGAAAACCACTGCTGCCAGGCTAGGGGAAGGTCTAGAGGCTTCAAAGAAGCCTGAGATCCAGAGGTGATGGAATCCCCCATTATCCATATTCAAGTGTTGATTATGTTCCCATCAGAAGGGGAGTCCTGGAACCACACGGACACAACAGCAGAGGTTGACACGTGTTACTTTCGCAACCTGTCTGTGATGTAGGTTTTACTAGTCCCGTATCACAGATGAATTAACACCAAGCACAGATTAACTTGCTCCAGGCCACTTAGGTAAACAGTGGCAGGGTGGGATTTGGACCAAGTCAGCCTGATTCTAAAATCTAACAGATCTGGTTACGTTTGGAGTGTGACTCTCTCTGCCAAGGATAAAAGCACAGCTTAATTGCTAAGTGCAACGAGGCATCTAAAGATTACTCTTTGGTGGCACAGAAATATAATTTTACAAAAGGAAAGGAGTGAGGAGACAAGGGTGAAAAAAGTCCAAACCCTTGGGAGCCACAGATCCGAGGTACTAACAGGTCAGCTAATACTCTGAGGCCCCAAGGAGTGATGTGTTTTCTCTGCTGGTGCCTTAGACCATGGACCTGGGACTGAGAGTAAAAGCCAACATTTACTGAGCGCGTAACGAGTCTAGGTACTATTATTGTTTCCGTCTCATAAATGAGGAAACAGACTCAGAAAATTAAGTAGCTTACCTGGGTCACGCAACTGGCAAATAGTGGAGGGGTTTGGACCCAGGATTGTCTAACCCCAAAGCCCATGAGTACCCGCTACTCTGAAATCTGGAGATGTTGCTCTGGGACTCTGCACACACTTCCAGCCTCCCAAGCCCTTTCTTCCTGGGTGGCCTGAATCCCCCCAGGGGCGTTCACCTTTCACGTCACCAGCTGCTAGGGGACACAGGGATGGGGGGTTTCAGCTGTGCCAGTTCGTCTGCTTGACCTTTAAAGCCGGTGCCCACACCCCACACGCTGACTGAAGGTAAGGCAAGATCTTGGACACACCAAGGATGTTCAAGGCACTTGTTGGGTCCCTCTAGAGTGTCCCCAATCTGCATCCCCCCCACACCCCTCAAGTCCCCACGTCTGGTCAGCTTTGAGCTCTTGGCTCTGCCCTCCATTCCACACCTGGTCTCTGGCCTTGCCTCTGACCTTGAACTTGGTTTGCCCTCGCATTTGGCCTATGGCTGGGAATGATCTTCCCAGTATAGAGAAGAGCTGGTTTTAGAGTCTGGAAGACCTAGATTAAAATCCTAGCCCTGTAACTTACTAGCTGTACAGGCAAGTGACTGGATCACTCTACTTAATTACAAAATGGAGAAAAACATTTACTTTCTAGGGTTCTTATAACAGTATCTGTAATGTGTGTGGCACGTGGTGGGAACTTTGAGATGAAGTCCTACTTTTGTTATTTCCCACTCGAACTCCTTGGCTAGGTAGGACCCCAGCCTCAAATCTCTTGGCTCTGGCTGCTAAGTTGGCCCTGACTCTTCCACCATCCCCTTCCTTACATGTAATTCATTTTTCAAAAGTGAACACTGCAAATGGTTCAAGTAAGGACATGCTCAGCATGCACCACAGTCACCCCCAGGCCAACCTGGGAAGCTGAGAAGTCCTAGGCTGGATTCGTAGGGAGCCTAAGAACCCTGGTGGGTTCTCTGCTAAGCCAGAGATAAAATCCCAGCTCATAGAGTGTGGGGTTAAGAATAAGACAGCTATGTGGCATTTGGGAAATTCATTCAATATTATTGATGGTTCAGGGTCCAATTCTACAGTTTGTATACTATCTTAGCCCTTTTCTCCCTTTCTCTTCTGCCTTCCAAGTGTTCAGATTTGTGTGTGTGTGTGTGTGTGAAAACTTTAAATAAACCGCCAGAAGGTGGGAAGTGGAAGAGATCACCCCTCTGGATGTCCACCACTTTGGTGGACCCTGGAACGCTCATCCTGTGTAACTGGCCTCACGGAAGCAAGACAGGGTAAGACTCAGTGCTGATCTACTCCTTTCCCTGACAGGCTCCAGAGGGACCAGTTCATGAAAATTAATTTATCTGAGGGTTTCTTGTCTTCATGGTGCCGGTAAGGAGTATCTAATCTCCATTAAATAGCCACAGAAAAATGAACCCTGAGAGAGGCCTGATATGTGTATGTGTGATGTCATTTATTCCCAGTGAAATCCTGAGCAGCCATATTATTATTTCAGTAATTTATTTATTTATTTTTAATGTAACTGTGGCGTAGTTCAGCTAAAGTGTTTGCCTGTCCCCGCAGATAAAAGGATGTAGAGTAGAGATTTGGCTCCGACAACGCAGGCCCTTTCTTGGGCGTCCTGCAGGTACAGCTCCATGGCACAGCAAACCTCACTGTTAAGATGACCATTTTTTGACCTCCACTGAGCTCAGTACCTGGCTTGCAGAGGAAGCTCAAAAAAATGTTTGTTTGTTTTCGATAAATAGAGGCTAACAGTAGGAAGAACGAAAGGCTAATGAACCATCTCAAATGGACACTGGACTTGTTATCAAGGCAGCCTGAACCTGAGGAGAACGTGCAAGGCTCTGGGCAGAGGGCAGCCTATGTGCTCCAAGGGGCACCAATGACCCAGCTCAGGATTGTATCCAACCCCGTCCTTTTGTCCCTTCTGTTTCTTTGAATACGTAAGACACTGGGGACCCTCCACTTTTGTACTTCCCAAGGTCTGTGTTAAAAGTGACTAATTCTGGGAGATCCTTAGCTAAAAAAAAAAGAGGATCACGAGGTCAGGTATACTTATCCAAATGCTGCTTTTATAAATGTTGCAATATACCTAAGCATAGTAAAGGATCTGAGAATTCCTGTAGCCAAAAGTCCTATTTAACTCTGGAACCTCCTTTTTCCTGTAATAGCTATTGGTTTAAAAGAGTCTGTAATCAGACTTCCCACATTTCATTTCTGGCTCTACTACCCATTAACAAGGTAACCATATGCAAACGGCTTAGTATCTCTAAGCTGCAGTTTCCTCAACTGGAAAGAAACAGGGATATTTATGTTATCTGTGGCTCAGGGGGTTGTTGTGAGGATTAACTACACACACACACGTAAAAGGCTTTGCTAATACTTTGCAGATAGGAAGCACTCTGGTGCACTGTTAGTTTTAGTATCTAATAGACCAAATGTTCTTTGTAACATACTTTGGGATT